CGTGCCGGGCACAGCTAGGAGAGCAGCAAGAGCAGAGGGGGAGATGGGCAGACTTCACAATTTGTTTAATAGGGACAAACTGCCTCAGCTTAACACACAAAACTGCCTTTCTTCCCCCTCTGCAAAGGAAGTGAAGCTTGCAGCAATGTCTTGCTTGAACAGAATAAACTTCTTTCAGCTTCTGTGTAAAGTAGCAGCAGAAATACCCCAGTTCTGCTTCTGCAGTTCTTCAGAAGCATCAAATCAGGTAGTTAGTGGAGTCCTTCCCTAAAAGCAGGTGACATCAAAGTATCCTCCAAGATGTGGGCTGAAGACCCAAAAGGGATAACAGTGTTGGTCTGTCTGTCATATATTACTGTTTTGTAATGTTAAGGACTTTGTACTGTGCCCACAAATTAATACATTTCAGTTGCATTTTTTAAAATTATACTTTTTCGTCTTTTTTATCCCTACTCTTAACTCCTTTAACTTTCTAGTTTGCTCTCTATGTTGTTCAGATGGTACCATTGTGCTTTGCATGGAGAGCAAATCACAATCCCCATGCTCTGAGGAACTAGATTTTCCTGGGATTGTTTTCTTTTCTCCAGAAGCTGACAGGCTGTATGGGCAGCAGGCTGCCTCGTGGCAGCTTTAGAGAGATCAAACAGAAGGACAATTAAATGAGAATATACAGGACACAGCAGCATTAGCTGCAATGATTGTATTAGTACATGATGCTGTAGGAGCTGGAAAAGAATACAGTTAGTGATTGTTTTGTTCTCTTTAAAGAAACTTTGGAGGCAATTTCTTCTCCTCTTGTGACCCCACAGTTATGGTTATTGCTTTCTAGTGATTTATTACTCGGCTATCAAGTGAGCTCCACTTTTGAATCATAAATCAGTAGGCTTTCATAGCAAAGCTACTTAATCTTGCAGCAACAGAGGCGGCTATGGGCTGTTCTAATACCACCACGAGCCACGTGAATCCCTAGCTCTCTGGAATAAGTGGGTCAGGGATCTTTTCAAGTGGAGATTTGGAGGAGTGGGGGAAGGGAGATGGAAGGAGGGAGAACTGAGTGGGCCCCATCTCCTGCTTGAGCTCCCAAGGGTGTCACATCCCCTAGCAGCACTTGCTCAGCAAGATAAGAAATTCTTCTCTCTGAAAACACAAAAGGAGGCGGCAGCAGCCGATGTGACAGGAGGAAGGGCCCAGCACGCCTGCCTGGCAGCCCTGCAGTGGGCACACAGGCGAGGGCACCTCCGTTCCTAGGGGCAGCAATATGGTACAGCTGAAAAACTGCTGCAATTCAAGCAAGCTCTGAAATTAATACCTAAAAGCTATTCCATAACAACACATAGAAACAAGCCCTACGAACTTATGCATTAAATGCAAATACTCAGCACTAACTTTGGATGACCAAACACTGGAGTCTAAAATATTTCTCTATTTTAGGTTATCGCAGGCAGCACCATCCCCCAAATGGCCATACGCCAAGGTCTTGGTGTCTTGTGCTAGAGAAGTGGGATGCAGATTAGCTATACAGTTACTTGCTAAACTGTTTTCCCTTTTCTCCTCTTTATGGCTCTTTTTTTTTCCTGAGGACCTTTACATAAACAAATAGTAGGTAAATGGCTTGATAAATAATGCTGTGAAAGGAGGACACAGGCCACATGGTGGCACTCCGACCATGTAAACTTTTGGTCTCTAGGCACATGACAGGCTATGCAGCATCCACCTCATCCCAGAGGGTGCCACATCCTTTTAAGCCCCATGAAAAGTGCTTCTCACTACACAAGAGGCTTCCTAAATAAAATGAGGCTATGAGATATCATACTTGGAACCAATGGCAACAGTTGCAGGGTGTCATGAATGCTGCAGGCAGCAGAAGGTATTTCTTTGCCCAGACTATCCCAGAGTATCAATGAGGGGAAAGAAAAAAAAAACATCATTTGATCTTGCTTGTGTAAGACCAACACACTTAATTAACCATGTAAAAGAGTTAACCACCCACAAGTTTACAGTCTCCTTTTTGTCTCCTAATCCAAGCACTCCCCACGATACCAACTGCAGCAATGCCAGCCTGGTGCTACCAGCAGCTCCCAAGGGCTGCTCCTGCCATAAGTAGCCTTTGCTCTGCTCCCCTCAACACCCCTCTCTGGTATTTGAAGAGCTGTGAAGCCAGTATTATGCACTCCACATGCTGAATATTTATTTTTGCAGAAAAAGAAGGGTTTACATCCACTTTAAGTGTCTATTTCCACAAGTGTACCCATTTCATCATTGAGAAACTGCAAAGCCATCTGTTTTTCCAAAGCCTCCCTTCCTTAAACTGCAGAACTGTAGAAACTTACCGGCCTTGCAGCCCTCCTCAATGAGTGCTTTCAGTTGGAGCAGAAGCTGACACGGGAACAAGCCTGAGAGAGACAATCCCCTGCCCTCCTCCTTGCCCCTGAAGAAGGGTGCTCAGTCACAGACAGATCTTGCTACCTCTATCAGTGATGAGCACCAGGGTGAAAGGAGACTATTCCTGCCATAGCCAGCTCCTGAGAGCAAAAGGAAACCTGCTTCAGATTTCCCCTGTCTGAATAGTGGCATGTAACTTTCTAGCATGTGACCAATTCCAGCTTTTGACAATATTTTGATGATTTTTCAAACAAATTTTTGCTACTGGAGTCTATAGGTATGAGTAGCTGTTTAAGGACTGAATATTTAATGTCAGAAAAGCATTGCAAACATAGGCAATCCCTCCCCCTAAGAAAAAAATAATATACATACCTTAGGCAAAAAAGTAAATATGAACTTGGGTATCTTTGTTTCTTAAAATATATATTTTGCAATAACAGCTACTTAGCTAGCTTCTCATTTTAGTAGTCAGATGAGCAAACCTACTTTTGAATAAACACCTAGTTTTCTCAATCTTCTCAGTATTTAAACTTTCATTTTGTGACATGTGCTATGTGTAACCTTAAGAGGGAAGCATACAAATTAATGCAGGCTAGTTTGAAGCCTAATGCTTTAGAACTGTTTCACTCAGAAGAGTGCTCAAGCCTATTTATAAACTACAGCCCACACCTCTAAAACAGCCACACTTCTGTCACATTGTGCATTATGACAATTAAACCTCTGGGCTACGTTTCATCCCCTCCCTACAAGTCTACACAGGCCACAGGAAACTAGCAGTGCTTTAACGGCAAACAAAAGCAAAGAACAACCCCCTTCCCACCTGCAAATCACTCACTCATTCCCTCCACAATGAAGAAATTTGCATTTCCTTCCAGGGAAGGCATGAAGAAAGACAAAGAGACAGGGAAATACATGAGAACATGCAGCAGGTAGCCACACAATGGGAAAAATAGCATTAAACTCTTGCAATTATGACTCCCTGCTTAAGGAAACTGCAAGACGAAGAGCGGGTACAGACAGCAAGTCAAGCACTGTGAAAGAAAAAACCTTGAGTTTCCCATTTCTACAAGCAATTCTGCCTCCTCTAAGGCTCAAGAGGTGCAGTAACTACACTTGCATGAAATTCATACTTGCACATAAGCCATTTTTCCTTCAGAAATACCAAGCTTACATATAAGGTGCTATGAGTAGTAGTTATTTGTTTTCATCTCATGATTCTCACCATAAACCTACTGCTTTTCATTTTCTAGGAGAGGGAAAGAAGTCAAACACTTCTGTGACTGAGCAGTACTGAAGTAGAGGTTTATATCCCAGCTTTTCTCAAGCAGCAATAATGTCAGTCCTTAGTTTTACTGGCCCAACAAGGCATGCCTGTTAGGCTTCCTTATCCTCCTGTTACAAAAGTTTAGCTATTGCGTAACTGGGAACAGCACAACCTCTGTACAGGATTAGTAAGGCTTTTAATTAACTTATAATAGGCAAGTCTCACAGTACTAGTCCCCAGCATTTAAACATACATACGGCCAGAAAATAAGGATGTAGTCCCTACTCGGATGCATATTAAGAGCAGTGAATTCAAGCTTGCCTATCAAGACAGAAATGTTCCAACTCAGTCAAGCACTCTCCCCTCTCCACAGCCTCCAGTTAAGAGAATTTAATTTCTAGGTATTCGTGGCCAGTGGACACTTCCCCAGCCTCTTCCAGCTCAGAGTATGCCGTCTGTTTTACAACTCTGCTGGTTTTCACTTCTTGCCATTAAAATAAAGACATTTCAAAGTCAAATTTTACTTCAGGCTCCATTATTACAATATGATGAACAAAACTACAGAATTTTGGAAGAATTTACTGCCATTCCAAAGGTTTTATTGTTCGAAAACACTGTGCTGAAATAAAATCCATCATATACATTCTTTGTCAGCTACATCTTCACATCAGTGTCACATTCAGGCAGGTCAGGCATCAAGAACTCACAATGAAGTCAAAACACTACTAAAAGGCATCTTTTGTCTTTCAGATCTCGAACTTGCAAGGAATTAATTTTCTGCCTGAAAAAAGAAATACAGATCTCTAGCAGGGGGAGAACATCAGAACTTTGAGGAACGGTGACAGACTGTCTTCCTTCAGTGCTAAGCCTCTGGTTTTCCAATTTTTCTTTACATAATGTGCAACCTAAAAAAATGCATGTAAATTAGGTCTCTCTGCTGAGAAAAGGCATGCAGTAAGGGAAGTGGGAAAGGTGGTCACTTCCACGCTGCCTGTCTACACATTTGTGCCTGTAGATTAGCAAGCAGCTGCTGAAGCTTAAAAATAGACAATAGGAATAAATGCACCCAAGTTAAGTTAAATGGCTTTTGAGGATATGTTAATATGTAAAACAATGATACCACCTACAGTTGTTTTAGTGACCTCTATTTGAAAACAAGTTTCCTCAAACCATCATAGGCCACTTACATTTGCAGACCTTGGATAAAAGTTATTTTCCAAATATGTTTATTTAATTGAGCAACTCCTTATTAGAAGGGCAATTATTAAAAACTTGTAAGGCAGAAGACATTAAATGCAATGGTTTACATTGCTGGATTTTTTTTAAAAGGCAAACTAAAAATTAGTAGATGATTATTTAGGGGAGAGGGATCATTCATAATGGTGTTTCAATTTTAACCCCACTGTAATCATCACAGCAACTGTAGATGGCAAGTCTTCCTTAGTTGCAATTCAGGATGAACAGGCTTCCAGCTGTATTTCAAGTTAAGAGATACTTAGTTCTTTTTCTCCAGCCTGCCAAGAGAAGAAACAGGTTTTGTAAGAATGAGCACTAACTGCAATCACTGGCATGAACCTGGACTTGCAGCTGCTCAGTTATTTATGCGGAACAGCAGCCCACTCTGTTTTGCAGTCTGATTTTTGACTATAGAGTTCTGAAGGCTTCATCCTCTCCTTGTTCTGCATTGACTTCTTCAGGAAGAGAAGAGCCATAGCCTGACTCTCAGCATTGCTTGGGGCAGTGTCTGCCCCATTAGCTACACAGCAAGGCTGCAAGACTGCAGCCTGCTCCCCAGTCAAGCTATGGTGGCTCCTCCATCTCACATGTACCAGAACAGCTGGCTTGGAAAGATCTGGCTTGGCTTCTCTTTCAGCCAAACATCCCTTTCAGCTTTATGGATGTTTTCATTTCAGGAACTGCTTACTGAGATGGATACTTGCAGAAGGACCAACAGGAAAATACAATAAGAAAACAGAATGGCTGGCAGCTGCTGAGCACTCAGCCTACATCTGTAAACAGGAGAGTCTTCAGCTTTCTGTATGCACACCCCAAAAGCTTTAGTCAAGGTACAAACCAAAAAAATAACATTTCAGCCTACTGGCAACAGGGTTGTTTCTTCACTACCTTTTGCAAGCCCATTGAGCCCCAGGAATCTGCACTGTAGTTAAAAGCCACTGAAAACACTCCAAGAGCCAGTTTATGGTTTTCCCTTATTTAAGGTGGGACTTGCCTGTGTTTGATCAGTCGTCCTCCTTGAATAAGTTGTGCAATTTCATTAGTAAAGTGGCATGCAAAGAGAAGCCAGTTTCTTGGCTGTACTTTGTAGGCAAATCTCATGAAAGTCAAGGAGTAACAACACAGTGCTGCAAAACATGATAGATACAAGGTTACTTTAAAAATCCATATTTAAGACATCATTTTCATACCTGTGTAATGCATAATGTGCAGAACGCTTCTCAGTGGCATGACAGTTTTCCAGCCTGAAATTTCCAGTCCTGAAAACTTGTCCACTTTGGATCCAACACACAAAAAAATGCACAATGAGCTTCTGTACTGCAAGGCTCACAGGGCTGCAGCTTTCTGCAAAGATTTCCTCATACACTTCTGTGATGCAACTCAAGCTAATCCAAGTTATTATCTAAACTATCTCTTAGCAAAGGAATAAAGGAAGTCCTGTTAATCCCAGTGTGACACAACAGTTTCAACACACTTCCTAGCACAGGTTCTTTTAAAAGCAATACATAGTTTTGCACACAGTTCTTGCCATGAAAGTTCTAACATAGATTTTAAGGGAAGGTTCTCCCTTCCACAGGAAGCCACATATTTTCAGAAACAGAAAACTTTGAAACTGCTTTTCACCTTTAGAAAAAGTAGGTAACAATCTACTCTCTGGCCACAAGTGCATTTAAATGCAGGAAATTACAACCCATCATTAGTGCTGCAAAGTTGAGTTTTAATTTTCTGACAGGCTTAGCCAAAACTAATTTAGGAGGCAAGATGTTTTAGGAAACCTGCCTTTTTCAATGCAAATCTTAGGAGAAAACTAACTTTTCATACAATAGCCTATGAATACTTGTAGAAAAAAAAAATCTAATAGAGGGCAGTTGCACAACCCAGTAGGAGCACCATCAAAAACTCTACTGCTCTGTTTGGACCAGTTGCCCAGCAAGGCTGAAACTGCCAGCTAGGCCAGGTCAGCCAAGCAATGACTCATCAGAACCAAGGCTGGCACCAAGGCAGGACAGCTACATCCATGTGGTACCCAATCCCAGTTGGTTACCCTATTCTTGGGCCAGCCTGAGCTTTGCACTGTAGCACTGAATTTGGAATTCCTATGAACTCAATTATTGTATTAACACATAATTATATATTGTAACTCATTATTGCCTTACACTTAATTATTTGCACCTACCACATAGGATTCCCTCAGGGTTTCAGAAGTCAGGTTTAAGTCCATCTCTACCCGTAGAAAACCTTTTACTTTAAGGACAGTCTAGTAGCTATTCACTATTTATAAGCTTCTGCTCAGCAGCTATGAAATCCAGTAACAAGAGCAACTAGCTCCAATTTAAGTCATTAACAAGTAGAAGAGCCGTTCATTTCCTCAAACTTCACTTTGTATATTTTTCCTTTGTGAATGCTTACATTGTTCCAAATCCTTTGCTCTCAAGCAGTTAACTTGAGAAAGAAAGAAAGAAAAAAAAAGGCAGATGCTCATCTGAAAGAGTTTAACATTTACAGCAAAAATCATCAACAGGCTTCTGTTTTGAAACCACCTGGTCTGCTACTGAGTTGCAAGTGCTATACTCAAATATAAGTTTAAGTCTCTGGACTGTGTGTATCCCAGGCAGTTATGACAGCACTAGCACACGGTGCTTTTGTCTTACATATCTGCACTTCACCAAGATGGGCACCAAAAAGCTGTTTTGCAAAACAGTATTTGAGCAGATCTTCCATCTCTAAGAGGTAGACCAAGATGCTGAATTACTCTAAGCTGAAGGAAAACAATTTAAGCTATGCATTTCATCAACCCTCTCATATTTACCTTTGGGGAAGAAGAGCTAAGCTATTAACAGAGTTAAGGACAAGACAATGTAATAGTACTAATTTAAGCTGGTACCTTAAAGGTACCTAATTTATCAGCACTCAGAAAGGAGAATCTGAACACTAGAATACAGACAGACTACTAAGCATTATCTCTGTGTTCCAAAAAAGGCAGACGTAAGTATTGCTTATGCACTTAAAACAAAAAAATCTCACAGTTCTATCCCATTAAGACTCCTGGAAGCAGCAAGCATCAGGAGGAACCAGTCTCTAGGGGTTCTCCATTATCATTTCCTCTGTCAGTGCTGTGATTTAAAACTCATACTAACCATGAAGTATTAATACTTGACATTGATACAAACAGAGCTGGGAGAAAAGATTCATTATGAACTAGTGCATGCACTGGCATAACATACCAGAAAAATTATAAAGAGTGATGGCAGTTTTGATCATCAGAGACTTCTTCCAGCCCCTACACACAAAAGTTATTAGAATGTTGCTGAATTCTCTTTGAAAGTGTCTTTCACTATCTGTTTTTGGATGGCCTTTGAAGTCTTATCAATAAGAAGCATCACGCTGTGATCTTTGATTACAAGCAGTTAAAAATACATCACTGCTTCAAGTGGGGAATGTGTTTAGTAGCCAGTTTGTTGACAAGGAGGCCCTCTCTGGTCTTACCAAATGTCATTCGGCCGCTAATGATTTCTGGAGATTTCTTCATATCATTAAAAGCAGCAATAGGAAGTCCCCAGTTCGCCACTGGCCCCCAGAAGTGCTGTAAAGAAAAGAGAGGTGGGGGGAAAGAGAGAGAGAGAGTTACACAAACACAAAGCTTCTTCAGCGTTCTTATGGGATAAATATCTACCTTTGTCTTCCTTAGCCATACAGAACTGCAGAAGCTCAGGACTAAGCGTGGAATTACAAGTTAAAGCACAGACAACTTTTAAAATAAAGGAGAAAGAAACCCCTTGTTTAGCCAGGATCTAGTCTCCAGGAAGAAAGGAGGTGGAACCTATTCCAAGTCATCCTGCAAACTGAAGAGGAACTACCCATCCTATAAACAAAATGCAATTCTGGACAATTCTACTTCAGCCATCATTAGGGAGTCTCACTGTCCTACTCAGTATAACCTCAGGTTTACAGCTCACTCCTGTGCAAAACCTTAGCCTTTTTCTCTTTCATACACAATCTCTCTAAATCTAACAGAAACAAGGAGCAAGTAAAATGAACCACTCAAAATGTTGTGTTATGCTGAGGATCAGAAAGCCCTCGGCAATCATTTTCCAAATGGCTACACCATCTCTTTGAAATACGGGTGCTATCCAAGCAAACCAAGTTGTTAGATACATCTTCCTTCTGCAATTCCTGGAACAATCTGGTGCCTGCCTAACGCTCAGTGATTAAGTATATGTAAGAGCAGGGGATGAGTTGGCTACAATTGCACGCATGCAGAAAACAGAGAAAAAGCAGAAAGAACCAAGTCTAAAGTCAGTCAAAACTGACAAAGCCATGCTCTAAGCTCAGTTTCTACTATTTCTATCGGGGCGGGGAGAAAAAAATATGGAGCACTTTCAGCAGCTTCCTTTCCCAATGGTAAACTAAGGATGTGTAAAAATGACTTCAGGCAGATAAAACAGATGCACTTTGCAAGATGCAAAGCTCTGCAGATACCAACTGTGTAACTATGTCTATTCTTTAGTCTCCTTCTCCAGTCACAACACTGCAGATATTCCAGTGATTTGGAATGGTCAGTGGACATAAGTTCCTTACAGTTTAAATGGCAGACAGTGACCCTTCTGCTGGATGGTAGCTTGGGACACTAACAAGATTTAGATGAGAAAAAAAAAAAAAATCATACTTTCCTCCTGCAGATTTACATTGTGATACAGCAAGTGAACTAGTAAAAAAAAAAATGGGAAAAACAGCAAGGGTAATTTGCACACGCTGTTTTGTTGGCTTAACCTTAATGCAGTATTACGCAAGATGCAGAGTAGGATTTCTGTAAGTGTGCATAGCACACTTGTTCATAGTAAAAGTAGGTATTTGAAAAGTGGCTAGTAAATACTTTTTTCTCCTATCAACAGGAGTGAAGCAAGGCCAAAATGTAATTCAATGTCAGGGATGTTCAAAGCTCTCTAGAAGCCTAGATATCATATAAATGCCACAGAGCAATGCAACTCTTTCCAGTTATACTTTACATCTGTGTTTAGATAATTTAAAGGAATGTAGCTGTAACATCATCACTACATAAAATATTTCCTGAGCAAAGGCAGAACAAAGACATTCATAGCAAGAGAAAGCACATAGGATGCTATTGTTCTGGAGGCTTTCATGCACTTTAATACAAATATTCAAGTAATCCTAAAGAACAGAACAAGGACCAGCAACATATTTGGTATTTATATTATTCAATTGCCTTTAGAACAAATACATACACTATAAAACAGGCCACTCCAAGTTCAAGTTACAAGAAATGATGATCTTTCAACTCACAGCACTGCACTGCAGCCGAACAGCAGCTGTCCTCTGCCAACCCAGCAGCTAAGTTTGCAACCTTTTAGCTTGACCTGGCTATCTAGTTAAATGCCCCAACATAGGCAATCCTTTCAAGCTTATGCACACAAGAGCTAAATTGCACCTAGGCAGTTTCTGTGGTTTACAGAGAAGGGTAGAAGAGTCTTCCATAACACTGATTCACAGTAGAATAGGCATAAAAGACCAATTCCCTGTTTCAGGGGCGAAAGGAAGGGTTAGAAGACAAATATCTGCATGAGAGTTACAACACGAGGCTGTTTATTGTCCGAAGCAAAGACAGCTAAAAATAAGCCAGAAAATCCAGGCAGGTTCCCAATACCCTTGCTGTGCACAAGAATGACTCCAGATTCATCTGATCTCCTTTTCCAAGGGTGCAATAAAGCAAGCTCCTCTATTTAAATGAATTCTTTAGGAGACATTCTGTAAGAGTTACCGTTAGGCAACCCTAGCCTCAGACTTTTATTTACATTCTACAAATATATCCCTGCTGGAGGCCAGCCATATGGCTTTGCAGGTTCAGTCAAATTCACAACAGTGCTAGGGCAACAAGCCTGCCAATTATTTAAGTATAAAGTGCAACAGGAAGCCCCTTCCCCCTTCTTACCGTACTGTTTGAGGATGCCATCATTGGTTACCATTCGGAAAGAACATGCAAGAAAAAATAGAGACAAGAATTAGTTTCCTCTATAAGCCAAATAGGAAAAGCTTACTGCAAACTGAAGGCAGAAGTCAAAGGTGCCGCAGCATTAATCTTGATTAACTGCAGCATTAACAACCTGCTTCCTTCAAGAGCTGTCACCACAGCGAGTGTTTGTTGTCCAAGCAGAATAAAATCCCATCATGGTAAGTGGAGGACCTTTCTGCCCAGTGAGACTTCCATAGCAGCTGAGACCAAAGCATCAGAGACGCTGCCCCTGAACTAGTTTAGGAGGACATCAAAATGTCTGACATTTGACCAGGAGAGACAAATAACTAAGATTTCTCCATGGGAGCTCTCAAGAAGCCACTTTGTGTTCTTTGCACACCTGTATAAGTAGGTCAAGATGAATTTTGCTAGAGAATCTCACCATCACTAAGGACAGGCCAGCCACAACTTTGCTAAAAATGATCTACTAAACATTCTGCATGGTCTAACACACAGCTACACCCCAGGCATATATGGGGTTCACATGGTTAATAGCTATACGACTGCTTATTACAGATGTTATTTAGTTATCTATGCCTAAGTGCTAGCCTACAGCATGTATTTAAGATCATTTGCTACTACTACTTTAAAAGTGCTCAGAGCTGCCCAACATCCTCTCTCTAGCAAAGAGACTGGTACATTTCAACCTCCTTCGGGGCTTGGCTCCTTAAGAACTTTTATTTGTTTTGTTTGTTTATTACCTGAACTGCAACAATGATTAATAGAAGCAGGCAGGACTAACGTCATTTTGCTTGTCACACAACCTTAACCAAGCGAGTTCAACGCGTCTCTTGGCACAAGGCATTTTGGCCAACAGAAGTTGATCTCCCTGTTAAAAATGGAAGTTGTTTTCACACAAGCAAAAGCTCAAAAATAGAATCAGCCTGACTGCTGCTCAACAGAGCAGCAAGCTGACAAGGCTCCCAGGTTCTTCCAACTGTCCTCAGATTCACGTGAGCTGGGAACAGTTAGGATATTCAGGCCAGGGCAGACCAAGGTTACAGACTCTTCCAGCAGCAGGAACTTCCAGCCATTTCTAACACATTCTACCCAATAATGAAGAGATCACTGAGAGTGCTTCTATCTATGCCTGAAATGGTGTTGCCAGCCCCAATTAGTAGTTTCCAAGATTGACAGGCAGTCCCTTGACAAAGCTCCTCCTCAGCACACTGCAGCAACAAAAACTGAGGTGAAATTAGCTCAGTGAAACTAATAGCTTTAGCCAGCAGTGCCTCTGGAAACAGAAGGCAGTCCACCTGGATTAGCAGCTTGTGGGGAAGTTGGGACTCGAGTTTAAGAGACAAGACTTAGGTAAGGTATCAGGAAAGAGAAGACTCAAAAGCCATGCAAAGTACAGAAATGCACTTGAACTCAAATACACTGTCCCAGCAAAACACCAAATTCTCTGTATGCAAGACTATAAAACTGGACTAGGCTGGCATTTGTCACAGTCGCTCACTGATCAGACAGGGAAACTCCACAACAATTTAAAAAAATAAGCACTGAAGAGAAAGAAGACTTTGTACTTGTTAATGTTTACAAAACTGAGGAACAGTTGTTGATTTATTTACTCATTACACTTTCTGGGTAACGCGGTAAATATTACAAGAAGAGCCAACAGATAATCAATACTGCCACAGTTACTCCCAAGGCTGTACTGGTGTAAATACATTTTTCCAGAAGTTTTTAGGTACTTCTCCATATTGTCAGTGGACATACTGGGAGGCCAAAGACCGTTCTAAAAATTTAGTAGTATTACCCACTTGTTTCCCCTCCACTCCATTCCAGAAAGTTTTAGCCTTCTGCATGAAAAAAGTAAATTGTGAAGTTCTTGGAGCATACAGGATTCTAATAGGGAGAAATATGTCCTTTAATTTCTAGCATAGACCTGGGGAAAACATTTAAATCCTTGTGTACACAAACAGTTTAAAGATTTACTAATGAGGAGAACTGAAGGTCAGCTAGTTGTAGTTACACTCCTAACGCTCATTCTTTTAAAGTTCACTCCAGCAAGCAAGTTATACATACAATTTTAGGTTGCTTAAGCCAGGAAAAAAGCACTCATTGTTTAAAAGAAATGAACTACAGATCTACTTTAAAACTATCTATCCTAACAGAAACTCTAGATTTTTGTTACTGGGTGGTCAGCATGAAGAGATACTTCAGAATCACCCCAAAAGAAAAAGCCTCCCTGCCTCCCCTGATTTGGGGACTACTTTCCTCTTATAGCAGATCCCAAGTAATTTAAGTTTCTACCATGAGCAGCTCTGACAGCTTGCCTATAGTGGCCTACAGATCCTCTCCCTCAAAGAAAGATGAAAAATGGACTTTTATTTATTTATTTATTTATAGAAAGCACCTTGTGTCATCAGGAGAGGATAAAGCATTTCACTCATCCATCAGCAGCTTAGATAATACGATTTTAGCGACAGCCATCACTTCTATAATGCCAGGGACAGGACAGGGAAAGGCAGCTTCAAGCTCACAGTATAATGAGCTGCTGCACTTTCATGTGCTCATCAGCTGGCTTAAAACGCAGCAGTAACATCCGCCTAGAGACAGGGAAAGCATGGCTCACATTCCTATCACATTTGCTTGAGAAGTGTGAAGACATGATTACAGTAAAGGCAATTCACATGATTTAGTGATTCAGATCTGGCTTCTCTTGAGTGGTGATCTGAAACTGGCAGAAGGTTTAATTACTAATGACAGTTTTAAAAGCAATTTATCCTGTTTCTTTGTGTAAGACCCAAAAGCCAGCTTATATTTCAATGCCAGGTATATCCACGTGAACGCGTAGCACGGATTCACTGTAGTTGCTTTCAGGATTTCAACTTATGAAATGTAAACTGAAGGTATTCTGATAGGGGCCACATCTTCTGACTGCCCTAAGCCATAATAATGGTAGACAAAGTAGTAGCTACTGTGTTCACCAGCTCCATTGCTTTGGGCAAATTTGGATATTCTATTTAGAGCCAGCTTCATTCTTAAAGCACAAAAGGAGGTGCTGCAAGCAGCGGCTCAGTTTCTGAGTCCCACAAGCAAGCTGCATGTTTATAAACCCTTGGCTTAGTTGTGGCAGTTGGATGCCAATTTCTAGACCTGACAATTTAGTCATGTTCTACCTAAAAATGCCCAGAGAAATCTCTTTCTAAGCAAGACAAGAAGGACATTTTCTCTGTGATAGGAAACAAGAATGCCACAGACTGGGGTAGCGACCTTTAAAAGGATGTCTAAAAAAATGCAGCTTAGAAATAAATACTGTGCTCTCCTCACAACAAAGGAGGAGAAGACTCTTGTTGACAGTTATCTGAAACCCCCACTCCGCACAGGGTACAACAGGCAGCCCAGGGACCAGCCTGCGAGCACAGAGGACACAGTGTGGGCACGAGGGAAGGTCACACGAGGCAGAACAACCAACTGCAGCCCTTGGTTGGCGCTGTCCTACAAGCCATGGAACAGGTATCTGGAGGGGATGGACCTTTTGGGGAACTTATACCTATTAAGGAAGGAACACTGAGGAACACTGGTGTTGCAAGATCGAGTTTTATGCAGAAAGCTTTAAAAAAAAAGGGGGAGGGGGAGAGAAAGAGAGAAAGCGGAAGAGCTAGAGAGACATGCAGCCTTTTCCCTGCCCCCTCACCCGTTTCACGGGCATCCCGGCACACTTAACTCGCATTAAAAACCCGAACGACCTTCACCGGGCAGCGCGTTCCCACACTCCCGCCCCGGGCCGCGCCGCCGCCGCGCGCACCTCATGAGGTAGTCCCGGAAGTCCTTGCTGCGCACATAGTCCGCGGCCTTGCGGGCCAGCGCGCCCGCCATGGCGCCCGCGCAGGGCGGCCCCGACCG